GGTGAACAGTCAATTCCCCTTGATTTAGACAGTAGCAGCTGGTATAGTCCACTTTTCAGTTGTCCACTCATGGAATGTGGACCACAGAGAATGCTGGACAGCGAGTCCATGAATGGAATGTTTTGAAACAGCCTAATTAAGGTGGAAGGAAGAAACTTCCTTTTTGAAAGAAAAGAGGACTTAAGTCTCAATACAACCTTATCCTTGTGTAAGAAGGATGCATAATAAGGCCACTAATTCAGGGACTCTGCTCGCATAGGCGATAGTGGGGAAGGCAACCTTTTGACTGAAAGACGTTAGCAAGATATCCCTGACAGGCTGGAAGAACGGTTTCTGAAGGACTGACAAAACCTGGTTGAAATCCCACTGAGAGAGCAAACAGGGGGAATAATGTGAGTGACGTCCTAGACAAAGGCTTCCACAAAAGAGTGATAGGTAAGCAGTCTTTGGCAAAAAAAATAAATAAATAAATGGCTAAGGCTGATATCTGACCACTTAATGGAACTAAATGCCAAATGCTGATACAGGCTGTAACTAGAGGAAGGACAGGATTAGTTCCACAGGATACTTCCTAGGACAGAATTTACTAGCTTTGCACAGCATGAAGTAGGTCTTCCAGGTGCGACGGTAGACTGCAAAAAAATCAAATAACTAACCTAAAGGAGCGTATTGATCACACATTCTGGTATGCCCCTGTCCCTAAGGAAGTTGGGTCCAACAGCCAAGTCATAAAATCCAGTGACTGAGATGCAGGATGGTGAACTGGTCACTGGGAAAGATTATCTTGACAATCTGGAAGGTCCAATGGAGAGTCACGCAGCAGTCCTCTTATGTCCGTTGTAACACATTCTCATGATGAGCTAGTTTAGTGCAACGAGGATCACTGGAATGACCTACTGCCTCGACCCTGTGTAGCAAACAAAGAAAGAGCTTTAGTGAGGGAAATGTGTAGATCAAGTTGAAATGATCCCACAGTCACCAGAGCATCTGTTGGGAAGGCCTGAAGATCCCCAGTGCTGGAAACAATGTATCTAGTTTAATTGTAAACAAATAGAAAACCTCAGCACTCTAATACCTCTGGGATCACTCAGTTGTCGCACCCCTTCGCACACAGCAATTTTGTACTATTGACCTCAAAACTTCCCAAAAACTCTCAATAACTCACACCCTCATTATCATCTGTGCATCGTCTGTGTTCTCCCAATAGTTTACTTTTAAAAAGAAAAGAATAGTGTCCATGGAAATCTACAGATTTTCTGCTGCAGTGGAAGCACATACATGTTTAGGAGGATTTGGCATGATTTTGAATTCTAATTCTTGGGACAGAATTCTTCTTTGTCGAAAGTATTCATTGGACACTTTTTTTCTAATAGTCAACTATTACACTGGGATTATCACACTGCCTCCAAGAAGGCCACCCATCAGGCCCAAGACCTTCATGCGAAAACAGATGGTGTCCAGTGATGGTCTCCGGGCTGTCGGGTCTGAAAATAAGTGTGGATAACCAGTTTGTCCAGGGGAAAGGAATACTTAGGACAGGGCCATGTCTAAAAGAAGGCCTAGACACTTAGAGGATTATTTCCTGAGCTGACACCAGAGATTTAGGAGTCTCTCCAAATCTGTGCAGTCCACTTTGTTTGATAGCATTAGTAGAATAGGTCCAGACCGACTGTTCATTTAGGAGAAGATTCCTGAGGTATCCCAATACTGAGAATAACCTGAGGGTGTAGCAGACCTATGACAGAAGCTATCATTTTGGTGAAGACCTGAGGTACCATGGACAGGTAAAAGGGAAGGGAAAGAGTGAGGGAGCCTTGTGGTGTGAGGCCTTAAATGGATGACTGCCTACTCGTAAACTCAGTCATAAGCGGCTGAGAACTCCTCTTTGGATAAACAGGTGGAGGTGGTATACTAAAAGGAGCTAGAGAGGTCTTTGAGGAGAGCAGTTTCATGAATGTGAAGCACATTTTTTTTTTTAAAGAGGAATGCAAAAATCGAATTTTTCCTTTTACATACAGTTTAAAACCCAATTGAAGTCACAGAAAAAAATGCAGTCATAGATCATGTACTCCTCCATTTCCATAGTATCACCTCTACTTTCTTGTTCACAATTTTGCAGTCACTTGGCAGTCTTAGTAGGTACCAGTCTGACCATGCTGTCAAATGCACACCAACAGGCCACTCTCACAACGCTCTTCTTTTTCAGCAGTACAACTGTATTGTGACGAGAGGTGTGGCAGCATACAGCACTGGCGTAGGACTGCAGAAAGCAGCATTTTCACAAAGAGAAAAGGGGTAGTTTAAGGAATTTCCAAATGATCAGTTTAAAATCATAACATATAACCATACATGACAATGAAATGAAAATGTGCTTGTCTAAATAACAATCACCCAGAAAAACATCTAAATACCACCTTTCAACATAATTGGTTTACGGGATATCTTCTTTTGATGTCACAATAGTTGCATTTGAAAACACAGCTGCAATTGAATGTATAATATATACATACAAAAATAACAAATCTATAATAAAAGAAGAAAACAAAACAGTGCAAGGTTCCCCAATAAGTTTATTTCTGGACTTTTCACAATACAGAATGTCTCATCTTCAGTAGTTGCTGCCAGTAAATTAAGTTATTACCGTAATACAATTGTGACAAAATGCTCCAAGAATCTAAATCCACCTAAATAACTGCTGACATACATAAGCAATCCTCATGGGCTACTGCTGACCAGGAGCATCTGGTTATAGAGAAATCATATTCTCTGTAAGGCCTGAACATTAGAAATTATGACAGATCTAAAAGCCAATACACAAAATGTCATATATTCAGATATGTGATCTATTTCAAATAAAACATTTAAATAAAATGAATACAACCCTGCAAGAAGAGTTTCAAGTCAATTGTGGGGCACATTAAAGTCCATAATTTCTGGAACAATTGTGCACACTAAGATCTTAAAAACAGCAATTAATTGTTAAAGCTGTTCACATTTGCCATTTAGATACGGAGTACTTTCATATTAGTATTGATGATCACATCTTATTGCTTTCTTAGAGGTATTTCACTTTTTCGGTTGCTTAGTGTAGTATTAACATAAAATTGGCAAAACTGTGCTTATAGTTCAAGCCTAGTTAGTAATCAAACAGAATGGAGATGATTTCTGATCAAGTTGCTCCAAGACTTGGAATCTGTAGGTATCAAATAAATAATACAAGAGCAAAAAGTGTAGGTATAGTTTTGGACAGTGAAGACTGGTTAGAATTTCTGCAAAGTATTTATGGCAGTATGTGCTGTCACAAGAACAGGACATAAAGAGAAAACTCCCTAATAGGGTCATAGACTGCTATAAAAACATGACACAGGTTCTAACCCTTCCCTATACTATCCAAAATAAAATGTATTGGCTGGCATTTCACTTTACAATATATTGTCTAAAGATACTTGATAAAGAACTTTATAAAAAAATTTTTTTATACGTAACCAAATTCTCTTCCTCCACATTTCCAAACATTATGCATAAACTTCCACCATGCATCCACTCGGACCTTGCAGAAAGTAGAGTAGAAATTCTTATTCTGAAGACCCAACAAAGCTTCAGGTATCATCCCTGCTGAGTCACAGCAGAGCATGTGGACGAGATTCACTAGTTCCTTATCTATTTACCCACTATCAAAAAAAACGTATTTTGTGCAGCTTTTTTCTCCATGGAATTTAGGTTGGGTGTTTTTTCAAACCCAGATGAATCAAAAATCATTCTGATGCAACTAAATAACAAAATCAAATACAATGATTTTCTAGTGTCAAATAAAATCTAAAATTTACTCCAGTTGTAGATCAATGACCACATTAGTTAGAAATGTGCGATTAGTGCAATTATAAATCAAGTTTCTCCTCCAATAGTTTTCCCAAGTTCCCTGAAACTGTCATGACTGATTTAACATCAAACAGAATATAAATACAAAGGAACATTTTCCACTGTCACGTCATTAAACTTCTAATATTATGTAGGTAGAGCAATTGTTCTCAGTGCCTGTTGTACAATTATGGTTGGTAAGATTAGGTCAGGGTGAAGGTATATATTCCATGGGTTTCCTGAAGCTTCATATAGTGCAGTGCTATCACCATCTCATGACATACTGTCAGTTCATCCAGCTCCAGTTCATTACTGCTCTGTCCTGTGGCAAAATCAAGGATCAGGGATATCGATCATAGTCTTAACACTGCAAAACATTAGTAGATTAAAGGGTTTCCCAGCATACAAAAATAAAATTGCATAAACCACTTCACACCATGGAACAGAGCACGATGGGTAATTTGAAACAATCCAGTTTTCTAAACTGTTGAGCCGAAGAAAGTGCCATCCATCCTCTGCACTTTTCAGCATCCCTGTACCAAGCCAACTGCTTTATGGCACATACATATGTTGATGATTCTTGTAATAATGGCAGTATATCTCAATATGAGACTTTGCTGCATTAAGTGACTCCTCGTGGAGTAAATTGAGGAACGGGGATGGGGGGGGTGGGGGTGAGGAGTGATAGAAGAACGTAGGGTATAGATAGAAATTAAATCTGTCCTGGAATGTACAAAACTTAGTATAGTTATCGGACAGTAGATAGCATGAACACCATATTTCCTTCAATGATAAAAATGGTAGCAAGTCTTGAATAATGATGGCTCAATTCAGGATATTTCCTGTATGCAACAGGGATACATTTAACAAGTCTAAAACAATCCTGTACTGGACTTGCCCTTTAATTCATGCTTTCACAGTCACTGTATTACACTGTCCTCTAGTGGCAAGTTATTCACAGCGATGATCCAACACAACTCGACACCTTCTTCTGTAGACGTGCAAGCAGGGAGGCAACTTTGCTGTAAAACAGATCATCTTCATTTTTACCAGTGTGCTAAATGACTCTCCTATGAGGGTAGAGTGTCCTTCAACAAAAAACACCTCCTCTTCACTCTCCTCTTGCTCTTCTTGGATTCTGTTCAGTTGAACATTATTGACTCTGGGTCGTGATTTGCCATTTGGGCCATATGACGGAGGATATCTTTTTTTGTGATAATGCCAAGGAGGCGTCTAAGAAAAAGAAAGAGGGTTAAATAAATCAAAGACCTTGTTAAAAGGAGACATGACGTTTCGGCGGCTAGGTTCGTTGTGTAAGAGGAAAGAGACTACGATGCAGATAGCGGGATCATGTGTGTAAAGAGAAGAGCAGACCACCACCAATAATTCTAACAACATTATTGTTTGAGTAGTTTTGCTAATGAAATGCAGCAGCCTTCTCAACAGCAAAACATGCTTAATACATTGAGATATGTGTATCATCATATTATGAGTATGAATTCATTCAATTATATATCTAATACTTATCCTAAATCACTGTGCTATTTACTGACCAAGATCCATTATTAGACCAGCAAAAGGAATTAATAAATCAAAGGTCGTTTAAGGACACAATCACTATTGTCAGCCTCATTTTAAAAGGGCGTGGGAGATTAGAACCATTACTTGTATATGGCCCAATTAAACATGAATATTACACTCAGCTCAGCAGCCTTCTCTAATAATACATCATTTATACCCCTGTATCACATGACAAGCTCAATGTACACAGACAGACAATGAAGAAATTAAATATGGGAATCTACAGAGAGAAGACATTAAATTGTGAGTATGTGATAGTTATCCTGATTACAATATATAGACAACTAGGTTAGTTTAATCTTAAAGAAATTTAAGTACAGGCCAATAGGTCTTTGTTCAAATGTATCTAAAACTTAAACACAACGGGGGCAGCCATTCTGAGTGCTAAGTTATAATATACCAAATCATAGCCACTGATGATCATAAAAAAGGCAACGTGTGTAAACTCTGCCTAAGGAGTTCAGCACTGCTGCATAGTAGTAAGGTTTCCCATGCTCCACTTACTGAGGCCTTTGGAAGCACTGCACTCTATGTGCTAATACTACCAACATTTAGGGCCCATTCACACCACTGCACTGTGTTATGCAATGGTGCAAAGCAGTGCTATTCATTCTGCCTGCACCTTGCTGACAGACTTGGGGGGTGCTGCCAGAATTAAATGAATGACTGTCAAAGGCCACCAGTCAGTCAAGCTGCATAGCTGCAATTCCTGCAGGGAATCGTAAAATATTTATATCCACTTAAAGTGATATCAGCTCCCCAGAACCTGTACCAGAACCTGTATCTGATATGTAGCTACCCTCACTGAAGTCCACCACATCGGCATAGCAGTACAAGACTTTAAAAGCCTATCATTTCCTAACAGATGACTGAGTAGGAGGATTTCAGACAAGGACTCCCAGGAAGTGTAAGCAAATGAACCTCTCCAAAGGAGACATGACTTCTGAATAAATACCATGTAAAAAGTGGTTGTAAACCACAGACATGAAATATGAGCAAAGCATATCCCTCTATAGTGTGTACTTGTTTGAATCCAAAGCACTAAGTGTCATTTTTGTCTGCGGTCTCGTTCATCTGCTATCAGCATTAGTCACTTCTGACAAGTTTTCCTGACAGCAAGAGAAAAATGGTGACAGGGAGGGTCCTCCAGCAGATTGACAGCCTCAGCTCCGTTTCTGTTTGGAGAGGGCACACCCTTTTTCACCCAGCAATCAGCTCTCAGAACTCTTGTACAATGTGTAACTGCAATTCCCTGCCCCCTGCTTTTCAGAGTTGAGAGGAGGATATAACGTCTATCAGGGCTTTTTTGCTATCTGTATCTAATTGGGGAGATCTCCCTTCACTTCCATTGCCTAGCACAACAGGTAGTGAGAGAACATCCCGTCGAAAGTGTTACCAAGGTCACCAGAACTAGTGTCACCACTGGAGAAGTTGCCCCTCTATTCCTGTTCTGGTAATCACTCAAACTTTGGGATTTTCATTCACTCCTGATAATAATGGTCACCAGGACAAGTAGGGTGAAACCTCCCAAACAGTGGCATGGACAGCAATAAAAACCAGACAAATGTTCTAATCAATCTGTATCTAAAACTAAATAAAGCTTTGCCTTCAGTTATACTTAAAGCACTCTAAAATTACACTGCTACATATCAGGCACCTTGTGCTGCCTTCGTGAAAAAAAAAAACCACAGAGGTGCCTGCACATTCCTATAGCCCTCCAGCCCTAAGGGCCCTTTCACACTGATACGATCTGTTAATATCACGGTATAGCGTTTATAGCTGTGTCAGCTTAGCTACTGAGCACCAGGTATCCAGAATCCCAAGGACATGCTGGTATACATGTATCAACCAACCTTCCTGGGTCCAGAACCTGACTGGCCAACCACTATATTGGCAGCCTCACCTGCCAATATGGTGGTGCAGGCCAGGAAAATCAACTTATAGAAAAGCTATATTAGAATATCCCCAGGATTTGGGGGACCTGGGAGTTAAACAATCAAGCACCATAAAGTGCCTATTAGGTTGTAGAAGTTTAGAAGCTTTGCTGTAACTTTAAATTGTCTGCCTCTGCTATTTCTGACCCATAAAACCAGGGAACCACTGATTTGTAAATACTGACTTTGGAAGCAGTCATGGGTTGACTTATCCAATCCTTAACAATTGGTTAGTAAAGTGATGGTAAACCTTGATTTAAGAAAAAAAAAAAAAAAACATGTTATACTTACCTGCTCGGTGCAGTGGTTTTGTACAGAGCAGCCTCAATGCTCCTCCTTCTTGAGTACCACGCCATGGTGTGCCACCATAGAAATCCGATTCCTATTGTAGCACACCTGCGCGTTCGATCCTGAGCCACCTGTGTGCGTCTACCAGACATCCAGAGCACGACTTCGCCCTGCCCCCTCCTAACTGGCTGTGATTGACAGCAGCAACACCCAATGGCTCCCACTGCAGAGTCTGAGTCAATGAGGAGGGAAAGAGCCAAGCCTCTGCACTCATTTACATGTCTGGATCAAGATCAGACGTGGGGTGCTGCATGTATAAGGTTTTTTACCTTCATGCATAGAATGCATGAAAGTAAAAAGCCTTTCACCTTTACAAACACTTTAGGCATTTTATTTAAAAAAAAAAAAAAATGGGTTATGGCAGGCCTATGAATGAATGCCATTGTTCTCACTACCATCTCCTTGATATTTCACTGAAGTCATTTATATGTCACTTCACAAACTAAGGCCCACATATTATGGTGACCTGCAATTTACTGCACTGAATGAATGCAGGTCACTGCTAGTACGCACAGAAAACAATAGTTTTATATGTATTCTATTCACACTGCAATGCAACCCAGAGGTTTGATGCATCAAGCTGTAATAACATGCAGACGTGCTGAGTACAGGACAGACTCATGTGTCACTGTACAGCAGTAGTACAATGCACTGTGCTGCTGTACAGTAGCATGAAGTGACACTTTGTGTTCTTCAAATAAAGTTGAGCACAAAAAAAAGGGAACTCTGATACGTTCAAACGTGCATCACACTGCCTCCTACCATCAGCTCACTGCTCACATGCCCTTGGTGTTTTTATTCAAAGATATGATGATGCATTAAAGCGGAGCTCCACCCAAAAGGGGAAGTTCCATTTTAAGCCTTTGTCCCCTGCTCCCCATTAAGGATTGGCACCTTTGGGGAGTGGGTACCTGAATTTGACAGGTACCCACTCCCACTGATCGCCTAGGTGATCGGAAGCAGAAGTTGTACTTCTACCCTCCCTCCACCACGTGACAGGTCCCAGAAGACTATGGGGTCCATTCACAAAGCACAGTGCTTCTCGTGCAGTGGGCACCCGGCTGTGAAGCCACAAACTATCACAGCCGGGTGCCCACACTGAAGATGCCTGCGCCAGGGAGAGAAAATGGCTGAGAAACTAGCAGTTGTGAGGACACCGCTGGACTGAGGGACAGGTGTCTGTATTTTAAAAGTCAGCAGCTACAGTTTTTGTAGCTGCTGACTTTTATTTTCTTTTTTCCAGGTGGAACTCCGCTTTGAGCTAAACTCAGGCAAAGGGTTAAATATACAGCTCAATACATGCACATGAACCGTTTTACCTTCTACACAGTTGGGAATTCTGTTCAGTCACCCAGATACCAATGCCAATCTGCAGAAGATCCTACACTCAAAGATATTTTGTTAACTACTCTAACTTGTCCAATCAAATGCTTATTCTTAGTCCTTACCAAACTGTATGGGGGGAACTAAGAGTATAGCACACAGATGAGATCAATAGCTAGCCCTCTCCTCCTGTCTGCATTTTCACTGGCAGCACATACACTATATTGCCAAAAGTATTGGGATGCCTTAGTCCCTAGGGTTCAAAATTTAGTTGGCCCTCCCTTTGCAGCTATACCAGTTTCAACTCTTCTGGGAAGGCTGTCCACAAGGTTTAGGAGTATGTCTCCAGTCTCCGCTCTAATTCATCCCAAAGGAGTTCTATCGGGTTGAAGACAGGATTCTGTGCAGGCCAGTCAAGTTCCTGCACTTCAAACTCGCTCCTCCATGTCTTTATGGACCTTGCTTTGTGCACAGTCATGTTGGAACAGGAAGGGGCTGTCCTCAAACTGTTCCCACAAAGTTGGGAGCATGAAATTGTCCAAAATGTCTTGGTATGCTCACACCTTAAGAGTTCCCTTCACTAGAACCAAGCAAAACCCCTGTAAAACAAAAAACAAAAAAAAAAAAAAAAACACCGCACCATAATCCCCCTCCACCGAACTTTACACTTGGCACAATGCAGTCAGGCAAGTACTATTCTCCTGGCAACTGCCAAACCCAGACACGTCCATTGGATTGCCAGACAGAGAACATGATTTGTCACTTCAGAGAACACATCTCCACTGCTCTAGAGTCCAGTGGTGGCGTGCTTTATGCCATTGCATCTGACGCTTTGCATTGTACTTGGTGATGTAAGGCATGGATGCAGCTGCTCGGCCATGGAAACTATTCAATGAAGCTCTCTAAACACTGTTATGCTAATCTAAAGGCCACATGAAGTTTGGAGGTCTTTAGCTATGGACTCTGCAAACAGTTGGCAACTTCTGTGCACTTCAGCATGTGCTGACCCTACTCTATCATTTTTACGTGGCCTACCACTTCATGGCT